TGTATGGACATGGAGTTAATCAGCACGTGTGTGAGATCACCAGTGAGACTGCAGAATCCTTCCGCTTCAATTTACAGCAGTTCATCAGACGGGAAGCATTAATAGAAGGAGGTGGTGTGCAGCTTGCGGATGGAGGATGGCTAATCCCCAGCAACGACGGGACTGCAGGGAAAGAAGAGTTGTATAGGTATTATTGAACCAAAGTTGAACATATATTTTTGGAGAAACAAGGTGTATTTTGGAATTTGCAATAAAGCCTGAATATCCTCTTGCTCTGCACTGTCCACAGAGCGTTATGTGACACGCCTGGTGTTGATCCTAAACTAATGAGTGAGGCGTGGGCGTACAATCACTACCGATGGATTGTGTGGAAGCAAGCCTCCATGGAAAGATCATTTCCAGAATCAATGGGCAGTCTCTGTCTCACTCCAGAGCAGCTTCTCCTTCAACTGAAGTACAGGTGGGATTCTGTTCAATATTTTTCTTTAGTTTATGTTATTCAGATGTGCGCTTAGCAAGACATCCAAGCATATTAATGCGAAATGTGTACAAATATGACACCTAAATAACTAAGACGGCTTAATTATTTATCACCTACTTCTGTTTTGTGTCAGATTTAAAGACTCCATTTATTTAGTTTTATAAATAAATTAGCAGAATTGTTTTCCTACCACATTTCACTAAATACACAAAGGATAATTTGTTGATATTAATGAAATGTTTACATTTAACATGTATTACATTTGTGTTGCCTGTTATTAATTGTTATGTGTATCAGATATGATGTAGAGGTGGACCACAGCCGCAGACCGGCTCTGAGAAAGATCATGGAAAAGGACGACACATCAGCCAAAACCCTGGTCCTGTGTGTGTGCGGGGTCGTCTCCAGGGGCCACTCCACAAACCGACAGAGTTTCAGTGACACCAAGACTCCTCCAGATGCTGAAGCCAAGGTTGAAAACCCATCTGCAGTTGTGTGGCTGACAGATGGATGGTACGCCATTAAAGCCCAGCTGGATGAACCTTTGACTGCCATGCTCCACAAAGGTCGAGTGGCTGTGGGGGGGAAGCTGATCATCCACGGGGCTCAGCTGGTGGGATCACAGGATGCTTGCTCTCCTCTGGAGGCACCTGAATCTCTCATGTTAAAGGTACTTCAAGAGTGGGGCCAAACGCTATTCTATCTCTCCACAAGGATACCAAATAACAAGCATTTGGATAATTAATTGTTTTTGTGTTTAGATATGTGCCAACAGCAGCCGACCCGCACGATGGGATACTAAGCTGGGATTTCACAAGGATCCACGGCCATTCCTGCTTCCTATCTCCAGTTTGTACAGCAATGGAGGACCGGTAGGATGTGTGGACGTTATTATCCTGAGAAGCTACCCCATACAGGTGCGTGTGGTCTCGCATTGATATATTGTTTCTGTTATTTCTGGAAGCTCATGTTATAATCCCTTTTGACAATATGCTTTTGACTGTATGCAAATTCTTCCAGTGGATGGAGAGGAAAACAGATGGAGGGGCTGTGTTTCGCTCTGTTCGTTCAGAAGAGAAGGAGGCGAGGCAACACGACAGCAACAAACAAAAAGCGATGGAGATCCTGTTTGCTAAGATTCAAGCTGAATTTGAAAAGGAGGACAAAGGTAGGAATCATGTTTCCAGCATGTTATGGACAGGTTCAAATGGAAAAAGTTTTGTTGTAGAGCATGTGTCCCATGTCTGAGTACTCTCTGCATCCAATGTCTCTCTCACCACTTCTCCTGTCTGTCTTCAGCTCTACTTGTTAAGGCAGGAAAAATATAAAATTGTCCTCCACAGGTAATGGCAGACCTCAGCGTAGAAGACGGACAATTAGTCGTCAAAGTATTGCAGGTCTTGAAGATGGAGAGGAGCTGTATGAAGCAGTGGGGGATGACCCGGCGTATCTGGAGGTGATAAGACATTTACTTAACAGATCATTAAAATAATGTCTGTCATGAATAGAGATTTACTTTCTCTCTTATTTCACATGCATGTCCAGGCTCAATTGAGTGAACAGCAGGTGGAGACTCTACGTAGCTACAGATGTTCTCTGATGGAAAAGAAGCAGGCTGACCTGCAGGATCGCTTCAGACGAGCTTTAGAAAATGCAGAGGAGAGCGAAGGTAGCTGTCCCAAGAGAGACGTCACTCCTGTGTGGAGGCTCTGCCTCGCGGACCTCATGGACCAACCTGGCAGTGGTGTGTCTTCATTCTTTCTCAGTTTAAATGTACACTGGTTGCTTTAATGTATTTACTACTGTTTTCTTATACTAATGTTTTTGTGTTTTGTAGTCTACCAGCTGAACTTTTGGCGACCTTCCTCGGATCTTCAGTCTTTACTGAAGGAAGGCAGTCGATACAAAGTCTATAATCTCACAACTTCAGACGGAAAGAAACATGTTGGTAACACAACTGTTCAGCTGACTGGGACAAAGAAAACACAGTTTCAGGACCTCCCGGTAGGCTACTGTAGAAACTATCAGTGTGTATATGGACTTCTAGATGAAGTATTTATAAAGTCAGATAGATGATGGAAATAACTAATATTACCTAATATTTGTTTTATCATTCAGGTCTCTCGGGAATGGTTATCAACACATTTTCAACCGAGAGTCTCTACCCATTTTGTGGATCTTCAAAACACAGAACTGCAGCCGCAGTGTGGAGAAGTTGATCTCACAGGATATGTCATCAGCATCGTAGATGGACAGGGTAGGTGAATTATTATTTCTTTACTGTTCCTGATGTAACTCCTTTCTAAATAAAATGATTGTTTGTGCTTTTGAACACAGGTTTCTCTCCAGCATTTTATCTGACTGATGGGGAAATGAACTTTGTTAAAGTGCGCTGTTTCAGCAGCTTTGCTCAGTCTGGCTTGGAAGATTTGGTAAAGCCAAAAGTTCTGTTGGCTCTGAGCAACCTGCAGCTGAGAGGTCAGTCCACATCTCCCACGCCTGTTGTGTACGCTGGAGATCTGACCGTCTTTTCCACAAACCCCAAAGAGGTTCATCTGCAGAAATCTCTCTGCCAACTCAGAAAACTGGCCCAGGTACAGTGCTAAATCCTCAGACCTATGAAGCCGCTGAAATGTGTCCAAAACTGTGTTTACCATTTTCTCAATTAAGAATCCTTGTGTGCTAAATGCTGGATGCTCTCACAGCCAAAGTGCCTGATGTTTTGACGAAATCACAAATGCATTAGCTATCATTGAATTAAGGTACAGGTGCAGGTGATGGTTGATGAAAATGGAAATGCTAAATAGGAATAGCAATGTTTCTCAAATATCAAGTAATGTTTGTCATACTTACTTAACCTCTAAAAGACGTTGTAACAGTATTTGAAATCCATTTGTTGAAAATGTTAGAAAACTGAAAATGTTTATCCAATGTGGCCTCTAATATTGAAGTATTGTATGATTGTTTTCATTTTAAACTTCAAAAGAAACACTCGATACACTCGATTATTCTTTAAAAACACACAGGTGCATGCTTATGATCAGATAATAATTGTTTTGGTAATCTTTTCCCTGACCTTAACCACATAGTATGTTTACCTTACCTTTCTCCATGTCCTTGGTTTTATGAATTAAAATGTCCATCTTGTGTTTTCAGGGTCAGGATAGCTTCTTTACAATTGCTGAGGAGAAGCTTTCACATTTAGGGAAACCTGATGGCAGGAGTTCCTTCTCTTCTCCAGCTCTGCAAACACGAAGCACAGCTTTCACAACAGTCAGAAGACTGGACACAAGCACAAGTGTGAGTTCATGTCCTTGCTGTTTGGTTCATTTGCTCTCATAACAATTTAGATATATTGATCAAATAATGTGTCCTTTTTATGCAGGTGACATCTCAGCAGCCAGTCCGAAGCCTTGGATCCTTCACACCTGTCAGCAGGAAGCCTCCTGCAGCACACTGCTCCACAGAGAAAGACCCCAACAGCCTGAAGAAGAGGAGAGCTCTGGACTATATGTCTCGTATCCCGTCCCCCCCACCTCTTTCCCCGTTTGGCCCAGTGGCTTCTCCATGTGTAAATACGACATTCAACCCCCCTCGGAGGTCTGGGACTGGGACACCTAGCACTTTAAAAACTGTACAGACTCCAGCTCAGACACCTGTTGAAACTCCAGTGGAGAATGAGTGGGTGAATGACGAGGAACTAGCTATGATTGACACTCAGGACTTACATGTTGCTGATCTACTGTAGGTACACAGACTGTGAGATGACAAGCACGCTACCACTTTAAAAAGAATATAAAAACTGTACAAATTACTGATTTTAACGGCTTATGGCGACATAATGCTCATATTCTGGCGTTGTTGACTAACTGGAGACATTAAAGAGAAGAAGTCTCTTCAGATTACTAAAATCACTTCATCCTGATCTTAATGCTTCAGTGTACTTTTCTTATATAAAGTTCAGAAAGTTAAACAGTACATTCCTTTTCGGCTCCATGATTCCCTTTTTCAAACTGTTTGAGGATAATTAAAGTAGGGCTGACTTCTATGCAAGTACATTCTATGATAAAAATACATATTTCTATAAAGGTAAATGCAATATTAAACACATTAACAATCATATGTGTTATTTTACAGTGGCTAAATTGCCTAAAAATGCCTGTGTCCACTGTGACAAAAATGGATCAAAAAGTGCAAAAATGTTTCTTGTTTGTATCAGTCCCAAAAAATTGTGACAGAAAATTGAAATAACAAATACTCACTTTATAAAAAGGTAGATATACAAATCTAAAATATATGATTATTGTAAAGCTTGAACAAAAACATTGATTATAATTGCGTCTACTTCCAGACATATTTAGTTTCGAAAGGATCCTCATGTTATATTCTGCATAATAATGGCCATCTTTGAGTGATGACCTTTAGCTGTGTCACACTCAGTGACTGTATATCACACTCCAGTCCAGCTGGCGGCGCTGTTCCAAGCCCGTTAGAGAGGAGAGAAGAAGAGTGACGCCACTTCCGTAAACACAAGGCACCTGCAACACATGCATGCTGTTCTTTTTTTGAAGGTTGTTTTTTTACGTTATTAATGCATCTTGAATGTATATGGTGAGTAAAACGAATAGTAACATTAACTATGTTTAAATAATTTAAGGCCACAGAGTTGTGTTTACATTTTTCACCGTCTTAACTAGTTCGTGAGTAAAACTAACGGGTGGATTAGTTTCGGTTTTAGCCTAAGTGTACTATCTAATGATATAATAATGAAAATAACAACACATTTAAGGTTTTAATATTATGTGTAATGTGTCGCCTGTGTTTTACTCTGTTACCATGCAGATGTCTCATACTGGATCCTCCTGTAGGATCTTTCATGACGTAAAAAAACATTGTGTGGGTCAGCGTGGAAGAACCGGTAAAGATGACTCTGCTGACAAAAACTCCAAATCTGTGAGCAATCACTCCAACAGTCGAGAGAAAAGTGTGAGGGAGCGTGTGTTAAAGAAGGTAGGGATCACTAGCACCACCTTCATTGGTCCAGCATTTCCTCCTCCAAAACCAACCAAAGTCAAGTCTGACATTGAAGACACACTGAGTGAGTTTTACAAAGAGCTTGAGAAGATCGATACACCTGATGGTGCTAATAATAATCCAGGGAAACAACATTCTCAAACACCCATTACTCAAACAACATCTACCAGCAGAGGAACTCAGGATACACGTGAGGAAAATGTACTTTATACAAGCAGATATGCAGAAACAGATGGCTGCCACAGAAGCAGTGGGCAGAAACAGCCACCCTGGTCACACTGGTATCAAAATGAGCCATATCCCAGAAGACCAAGGCCACCTGCTCCTTCTCAAAATCAATGGCGTTATCCTCAAACACCGAACAGACCAACAAACCCAGGCTTTCACAGACCTCCATTCCATCGCCCACCACCTCCATCTGCATTCCCAAATCCACAAAACCCACCGCCACACATGGATCAAAGCTGGCGAGGTTCTGGAACAACAAACCAGTCTGAAGATGAGTCCCATTTTCCAACATTTTCCAGCTCAGCACCTTCCAATGTAAGCAGTCACCCCTCTCAAGGCTTTTATGGAGATTCTCTACACCACTTTGACAGGGATGAACGGGATTTAAAACTTGATGTACACTCTGATAATGTAAATGGTGGATGGTCCAGAGAACGAAAAGAAGAATTGCGTCAGTTTGGTGAAGATTATGACAGTCACCAGAGATTTGATTCAGAACATGAACCGTGGGCGAGTCACTGCCGACCCCCTGCCAACACGGACACACACCCTCCTCCCTTGGTGCTGATCTTGATGAGGGGATTACCAGGATCTGGGAAATCAACACTTGCCAGGTACGACATTAAAGGTGGGGTAGGTAATTTTGGAGAAACCAGCTCGAGTGCGCTAGAATTTGAAGATACACAGCCGGAAAAAATCTGCCACTTCCTTATAGAGCCCCTCATCCAACACACACGAACGCGCACATGACCAATGAGGGCACGAGATAAGTTTGTGCACAGATGGAAGGCTGACAGGCAGGTAGGCCATCCAGTTATTTTAGCTGGGCTGGCTAAAATGATCGTCGTGCTTTTTACAGTACTACGGCTTCCACAGATGACATTTTTTCATAGATTTTTTGTCAAAGCACTTAAGATATTCATTGCTATCGGGATGTTAAGAGCATTCCATGGAATATAACAAAAAGTGTATCTCGAGCCGGTTTCTCAAACTTACCTACCCCACCTTTAAGTCTAGATAATTAGTGCATTTGAGTAGAGCTGCAATGATTAGTCGCTCAAGGGAAAAGTAATCAACAATTTTTGGTTGTCAATTTATTGTTTGTATGTTTCTTTAAAAAATCATTAAACCAAATATTTTTGTGGTGACAAAATAAGATATTTAAACACTACCATGGACTTTTTACATTTTACACAATACATCAAAAATAATCTACAGATACATTGATAATGAAAAGTGTTTGTTAAAAGAGTTGAAATCCTAATTTCTAAGACTAGATGTATTACTTTCATTGTACATGTGTCCCATCTTTCTCACAGACAGCTGCTCTCCACTGGTCCCAGTGGGCTGATACTGAGCACAGACGACTTCTTTGCTCACAGAGAGGGGTACAACTATGAAGCACGTCTTCTTGGAGAAGCACATGACTGGAACCACAACAGAAGTATGTTTTGTGTAAAATCTCATTGCGTCATCACAAAGGCTTTTCTGTCAAACTTCAATCAGGACAGTCTTTGCTGTGTGAGAGTGTTTTCAGACATATGAAGTTTAGTTATTTTGGTCCTTGTTTTAAGCCAGTGTTGTCTCTGCTTACAAAGTGGAGGAATTAGGGAAGTAACACGTTATCTTGAATAGATGGCAGATCATTTATGGTTTGATGAGATTTCAATTTCCTTGAGATAAATACTTTAAATCTTCTTTTGTGTCATATTATTTTGTTTACATTTCTCTTTCAGCTCAGGATGCTATGCATGATGGCCGATCTCCCATCATCATCGATAATACAAACGCCCAAGCTTGGGAAATGAAGCCATATGTAAAAATGGTGGGTATAGGAATGAAAAATGTAAATGAGAGTTTTGTTATGGTCACTTCATCGATCCTAATTAAAAGTCCACATTTTTTCAACAGGCCCTGGACAGAGGATACAAAGTGGACTTTTGTGAACCTGACACCAGCTGGAAGTTTGATCCTTTTGAGCTGGAGAAGTACAAGTTCTTAATTATCATATTATATTTGCATACCGTTGCAGACTTCTAAAAATGTATAGAAACACAAATTACAAGACTTTTCTCTCCCTCCAGGAGGAACACGCACGGTGTACCAATGGAGAAGATTGCACAGATGATGGATCGTTTTTCATTTCCCGTATCTGTAGACATTGTGATGAATTCACAAGAGCCGCCTCACGTGAACCAGAGACGCCAACCAGAGCAGCCACACGGGATGAGAACCAGAGACTTCCATTAGTTTTTCACAATAACTAAACCAGCCAAATGTTTTTACTTGAAGACCAAACTTTTTCAGTGGTGTGAATATTGTTAAATTCCTTTTTTATGTGATTTTATGAAGCTATATTTTTGTATATTCTATATACATGTAAAGAAAGATTACTTATTTTTTCTGAAGAGGTTTTCAGAATTACATATTTACATGAACCATCTTTGAAAGGAAATGTGCATTATTTTTGCATTTTGTATTTGATGGCTGGTTTTTCAGAACAGTCCTTTTTGCAGTACAATATTCAACATGAAAAGGCTGTTCTTGCTGCCTCCCTGTTGTTTTCCTCTGGTCTTAATTGGTTACCAGTTGGTTGTTAAGTTTCTGTTGACTTCTGATTCCTTGAAACTGCTAGAAAAGAGGAAAATAATGTGGCGAAATGTCCTTAATAAACAAATGTTATTTTCTGGTAAATAATGAGTTTTAAGTCACCTTTTTCATTAAGGCAACGAGCTGTTTTTATCAATGCGTGAATGGCGCCCCAAAAGCCCATTTTCTATTGTCTCCCAGAATGAGCCAAATATCTTCACATTTAATATAGGTCGTTGGTTAGAGACAAATACGGTGAATATCTTTCGATGTAACCGTATAAAACGAAATGATTGCAGGAGAAACAGGGCATGGAGACCTTATCACAGAAAAAGCCCTGATAACAGCAGAATAGCCAGTGGGTGTGGAGAGGTCTTTGTGCCTGATGGCAGTCATTATTGTGTTGCCGGAAATCACATAGTCCCTTTGTATTCTCTCTGGTGTTAGAGCAGCATACAGAGATGCTGACTCAAAAGTCTCCATTCAAGCATGAAAATATGATGCAGTTGGTTGGAATTTTACACAATTGATGTGTAGCTGGCTGAAATCTTTGTAATTATTTCAAATGTTCTTAAGGTAATAACACCATGTTAGTCGCCAGTGTTTTATGCTCCCTGTTGAAGTTCATATTTGTATGTGGAGCTTCATTTGACAGATCTGGATAATTTAGTGCTCTGCTTGGCATTATTCAAACTCCACTATTTCATGTTTAAAAATAGCACAAAGGAAAAGATCCCTGACATCAGGCTGCACAAGAATATTTAACCAAATATCTGTCATTTGTGTTACCTTGGGATATTCTAGTCTTCTCACTGCAACATTATTACATTTTGCACCAGTAATAAGGAAACATACTGCCTTTACATTGTCTTGTATTGTTTTTTTAATACATTTTGACACCACCTGTTGAACAGAAACAGCCATCACTCATTTTTCAGCAGCGCTTTCATCTTGGCAGGCATGCGTTTTGCAGTTAAACTGTCCAATCGGGTTTAAAAGAGTTTCACTAACCCAGAAGCTCTGATTTGTTGAGAAGCTTGCCGTAGGTTTATGAAGGATTAAGATAACAATAAAAGGAACTGTAATGTAACATTCAGTTAATGTGAACATGCCTCTTGGTGTTTGAAGGTTGACTCAGACTGCAGTATACATTGTCTGCAGCTTCCTGATTTTTCTCCAGAGGTTTATTCACACAGCACTGACCTTGATTTACAGAATCCACTGCCAATGTGCAAGCCAACTTATAGCAGGAAACAGTGTGAATCACAGTGTTCTCTGCAGTATATTCAAGGTCTAGTGTGAGCTAAGATGTAGTTGATTTGTTTTTTTAAACAGCCTGAATAATGTTGATCTTGAGGAGAAAAAAAGTGTATACATGATTTGGGATTATATTATCATAATATGCATTGTGTACAACAGGAACCGTGACAGGAAGTACAAATGCAGAAGGAAGTACATTTTTATTCTAGCATGAAAAACTACATTTTATACCTCAACAGTCATCTTTTGTAACTGATTGTTTGTTTAAATGGTTTTAATGCATATAATTGCAAAACAATAAGTGTGGTAAATTATACAGACGTAAGGGACATTTCAAATTAAATGCAATTTAGTAAATGAAAGCTGATCAGATCTTGCTAAATAAAGTGGCGCCTGACTTTAGAGTACGGGCTCAGCTGGTAAGTTGGGTCTCCCTGATATAACAAAGAGCCTGAGAAAGAAAACCAATGCAAAGCCCGTTTTTAATAAGCTTTCAAAAGAGTTTACTATCCGTCAGTTCAGTTGGATAGTAATGCCTCCCTCTCCAATGTCAGTTTGAGTCATTGTGAATTAATGTATCTCCTTTTATAGGATTCTAGACACTGGTGCTAGTCAGGGGCAGTATACTGAAAATGAGATCGATCAGTAAGTCAGTAACAATAAAAAGACAACATATTATATATTCCCAAGGAAAATCCCCAATTATTTTCACAGTAATATCTTTGGTAGATGATGTTGTTTACATATTTTCCATTCCTAAGTGTAAAATAGGTGCCACATTTCAGAGGATTTGATTTGTGCATCCTTTTTAAAGTATTAATGAATAATAATATAACTTATATGCAAATTAAAAAAGGACACATAACATTCTCACCAAGAAGAAATGTGTTAGCTGTCTTCCATATAAAAAAAAGAAAAGCTTTGACCTTTTTAATCCTGAAGCTGATAAAAATCCTAGACCTGGTCTGTACATGAGCAGGAGCTTTAAACACTGACAGGGTGATAGGAACAGCTCATGTTCACATCATAACATTATCCCGTTTTATAACCTGAGTCACACCGAGTTCTTTTCAACAGTTTGACCTTATGCAGAAAATATTTCAACGTTGACAATAATGAAAAGAATCTGCACACTCCAATAGTGTACTAATAAGACAAGCTTGCTCTGAAATCATCTTTCTATTATTAGAAAGTATATGATGTTCTTCCTAACTCCAGCTTCTCTGAACATGCTGTCATAGATCGGCATTAAAGCGTAAAGAACACCCTAGAAAGCCTTTCGTTAATGGAGACAAAACTGCCAGTAATGGAATGCCAACTGCAAACTGTTATTTTTGTATCAATTACACAACATCCTGCTGTTTTGTAACAACAGGATATCAGAAACAGGAAAAGGAATGCATTGTACAACCCATGCTGACACATAAGGAACATTCAATAGTAGGCCTAATCTCTACACAAAAATACATTAAATATAATGGATTCACCCACCATTTTGGATTGTTTGAGTGACTACATTTGAACAAATACTCAAGCAAAAGGTTTGCTTAGATTGGATATAAAAACCTGAGCATGCAATGAATAGACATTAACCAAATGTACTATACCAATGGCTTTAGTCAACACTAGCTCTAATTGTGACCATCAACTTTGTTCTCTCTCATGTCTTACATTCACAATGTTTTAATTTCCTCAGATAGAGAGACTCTTGCTTTTAAGTCCTTCAAACTGTGGGATGAGTTATGGCTTTTAGGAACATGTACTGCTGTACAAAAGAGCACACATCATGATAGAGGCTGGTGAGAGTCCTTGATACAAGAACATTATGAAATATGGAGCCTGACTTCTGTGTGAATCCATGATTTAATAGATTTAAGTGAGTGATGGCACAAAGTCACTGTTGTTTATGGGCCTCTAAACCTCACCTTGAGGGGACACATGTTTCCTTTTCAATATTTCACCCTTATCATTGTCCCACAGTGTGTTTGTGCAGTGTACTTCCAATGTCAATGTGTGTAATTGCAGCAGCAGAACAAGAGTGTGTGTGCTCTGAATGATGATAAGGAGGCAGATGAGGAGTGCTGTGTGCTCCCTAAATGGCAGTGATGAGCCACAATTAAAGCCCCGGCCACACGAGGACGATAACGCAAACGGACCGCAATCGTTATCAAAAAAGTATTCCGTCCACACGCAATAGGCAACAGAAACGTGTCCGTTCACACAGACCGCTCGAAAGCGGTGGAGACGCTGTAGTACATATGCCAGGCCTGTAAGTGGCGCTGTACTCCTGCACAAAAGCAGCGAAGAAAACTTCCCGCGCATGGTTGCCATGGTTGCCCTTCTGTTTATTCTCCGCTGTGGACGCTCTGGCTCTTTTTCTCCCTCCCCGAGACAAGCGTTTGCTCCTGCTGTAAATCTCTCCGGTAGTCCACCAGCAGATGAAAAACACCCACCTCTCCGCCTCTTCCAAGGGACGAGGGGACCCTGCGGCAGAGTTTCAGTTCGATTTTTTTTCGCAGGTCAACATGTCCGTTAAAGTTTAAATCTTCCGGACAAAATTAGAAAAGTGCCGGTCAAAGGTCTTCTTTGTTATTTATTGAGCTTTAAAACAAATGAATAACGACTCTATATAATAATATAAAAAAAAAAAACGGAGCCTCTCTTTTCCTCCCCCTCTTCTGACAGCCCAGCAGCTGATCTCTGAGCAGGAGAGGTGGGGAGAGGCAGGGCTATTGCTTCAACGTTATCAGGAAATGATCGTATAGGCGTAAACAGGAGCCGTTTGCCCCCCCAGAGCGTTTCGTTTGCAGATCTACCCACCTTGGGACCCGTTATCGTTATCGTTTTCTGCGTTTCCATGTCGGCCTCGTGTGGCCGAACCGTCTATCTGATAGTGAACTGTAGCAGATACGACCGTTATCATCCTCGTGTGGCCGGGGCTTTAATCTCGCTCATCGCCTCTCCCCACCTCTCCTGCTCAGAGATCAGCTGCTGGGCTGTCAGAAGAGGGGGAGGAAAAGAGAGGCTCCGTTTTTTATTCTTATATTATTATATAGAGTCGTTATTCATTTGTTTTAAAGCTAAATAAATAACAAAGAAGACCTTTGACCGGCACTTTTCAAATTTTGTCCGGAAGATTTAAACTGATGTCTGTTCAAAACATTGCGAGCTCGAATAAATCATTTAAACCAGCTATTGTTGCCAGACTTATTACTGAATATCGTTCTTAATGTGATACCAAGTCCATCTGAGACCTGTGTACACCTTCAGACAGCCTCCAAGTGAAGCATGGGATACGTTGTTTACTCACAGTTTGAAAGCAGCGTGGAGAAGTCTTCAGCTGTGGTAAGCTGTGATCCGCTCAGGTAAACTGCGATCCGCCCAGGGAAAAATGGGATCTGCCCAGGTTAAACTGTGTTACGACTTCTGTGGCTATCTACCAGCGATCATGTTTAATATGAAAGACTGCACTATTATAAAAACAGTATTCTGCAGCACTCATCCAGATAAGATGTGACTGTTAACTCGTTTTGCAAAGATAGCAGCAGAAATGTCATTGCTGTGCAGGGATATTTAGACTTTAAAATGCTGCTTGGTCATGAATGTTGGTCTCGGTAAACAATATTAGGAATCCTCTATTCAAACATAATATTCAGTGTCCATCAACATGAAAATAACAAAAAAGTTCATGCTGGACTCAAACCCGAGTCCCAAAAGCATAAATCACTCGAGCCTTGTGCGCAATGAGTGCGCCACAAATCAATACGACATCTTGGTTTACCACAGCTCATCTTGTTACATTAACATTGTTAAAAAGTTCGAGAAAAATGCAACCCGACCATCATTTATAATGTGACCGAATGTATGTACACTTTAAGCCATATAATATATAATATACATATTATAGTAGGCATTTGCTTATAAATAGTATACTGACTGAGGTCTGTATCAAGCCTCATTAAGACCCACTGAGATCAGATATCCTAGTTGTCAGCCTGCGAGCCTATTATGTTGTGATAAGTGTTAATTTTACATATAAATGTGTTCTAGTGCACACATAAAGTTCCAATATGCAAATCAGGCCATGTGTTTCGTTATATATATATAATTGCCATGCAACATTATGCTATACAATATAATATTTTGCCTCACAATATAGACATTTTTAAACGCTTACTTTCTAAATAGGCCCCCATTTCCTGTTGCTATGTCTGCTAATGCAGTAGCTGATAGGATGTAAACCTGGACCAAAGCTGTTGCGCTAGAAACAGAATGCAATTAAAAAAAGGTTTATATAGAGCGGCGAAGTCTCTCCCCTTCCGGTGGGACTCATGGGACCTTATTTCGGAAAAAGTTTGTATTGAAGTCAATGGAGAGAGAAAGATTATCTTTCGATCCCGTTTTGAATTGTGCCACGAATTACACATATGATGTTTGTCAATCTTAAATAATAATTTCCATGTCAAAAAAGTCACAGTTTGTCGTAAAACTGTTGAAATATAAGACTATGAAAAATACGCAACTAGAAAGACTACAAATCCCAGAATCCCGGTCCCGCATGCTGGCTCTTACGGAACCGACTAACTCCCCTTGTGTGTATGTACAGCTCTCAACATGCCCAGACTTGTAGTGATGTTCACCTCTTTTAATACTTTTCGCCTCATTCTGAAAGAAAGAAGTGAAATGTGCCAACGTGACGGCCGTCTTGGTGTGTGGTGCGAGACGGGAGATGTAGTTCATTGAGCGGTTTCATTATCTTTTAAATTGACAAACATCATGTGTAATTCGTGTTTGAAATGTGCCACGAATTACACATATGATGTTTGTCAATTTAAAAGATAATTTTACAAGTCAAAAAAATAAAAATGTGTCGTAAAACTGTGAAGTAACACTTTTTTTCAAAAAATCACTACAAGTCTGGGCATGTTGAGAGCTGTACATACACAAAAGGGGAGTTAGTCGGTTCTGTTTTTCATTTATTCTCTTATTTTTTGTATAACTATAATGATCATATGAAGGTGTGCCACGGAAATAATCTTTTGAATAATTTGTGACCAAACCGTTTGAGACCCACTGAGATAACTTAGACTAAAGTTAAGTATCTAAACACTCAGAGAGTCCTTTAGCTCACCTGAGAGGAGAGGACTCTCCTCCAGCTTGTTGTGGAACAAACAGCTCCTTATGTCCGTTAGTGCAGCTAGCTAACCAGATGCTAACAACACGGTCCCTGCTGGCACCCGTCCCTCCCTCTCTCCCTCTCTCTCTCCCTCTCTCCCTCTCTCCCTCTCTCCCTCTCTCCCTCTCTCTCTATCACACTAAATGCGCTATTGCCACACACACAGAGCCGAGCTTGAATGACACAAGCACACGTTTATTTCTATGCAACTCTCTGATTGGTCTGGTGTCATGCCTCTGTTGCATTCACTGAACACGGGAAATTACATTGCTGCCGTCCTCTCGTGTCATGATGAGGTTCACGTAAAGCACGGTTAATGTATTATATTATTGAGGGAGAATTGTCCGGGGCTACAGAAAAAACATTCGGGGCTAAAGCCCCGGATGCCCAGGCCAGGCGACGCCACTGGTTAGCACACACAACACGTGTAATGCAAATGTTTTACTCTTTTACGAATGAGGCTTTTATTTTGAAACGTTTTACCGGAAGTCCTGCTGTAATTCTCACCTCACTTGACAGGTGTGGAGCTCAACCTGCCATGGATTTGACAACGTACGGCGGACAGTCCGCAGTTGGCGGTCACATACGGCAGGCACTTCTCTCCGCTCACGTTATCCTTCCTCGCGATGCTGTTGATAATGTATTCGGTGCCGCCGAGAGGAGCGCGTGCCTGTGACCCGGATGGCAGATCGATGGTCTAGATCAGAGAGGGAAGTTTACCTCCAGCGACCCGAGCCCAGACGCGCTCCTGGCGGATCACTGCACGGCGGTTTACCCGTTGAACTCTACGGTAAGAGGCTTTGCTTGTTTGGCGTATAATCAAAGGATGCAGGAGAGGATGTGCAAACATTGGCAGTAATTGCACGATTTAATTATATTTTGGTTTGTCTTAACTCTGACCTTGGATACATTTGAATGTACAATTGAATTGATGTAAGGAACTTTGATGGGGCAAGTAGAAGCTCATGTGTAGTGCAAGTCCTAATAGCCTACCCATTATTAAAATGAAAATGAATAGAATAAATAAATATATGACTTTCTATATATTTGAAATATGTTTCCAATGGACAAACAATAATATTCTGAATTAATTTAGTTACTTTTGTCTGACCCTTACCTGGGCTCTACATCTAAAGCCTATGAATACATTAGCTCGGTATTGTAGGCATATTTTAAAGAAACACGTCATTGGAGAGTGATAATAATAGATGGATGCAGCAGTGAGGGGAGTCTAATTTGACCAGACTACCTCTCACCACATGTTAATGTCCAGTCATTAACTGATTTAATGGCTGGCAGGCAAACCGTTGATGTGTAAACCTGTTCTCTGTGGTTCTTCATGCAGCAGTTAGTGGCAGCTGGCAGCATCACTGTCTATTCAGAATGACACCACTAATCCCATTTAAGCACTGCTGAGGTCTGACCTAAGGTCTCAGTGATTCAGGAACATTTTGTAATTAAAAATATCTGTTTTTGGATCTAGTTGTGAGATTTTGAGATTCACCGGGCTAGCTTAATCCAAAAGCCAAATGTTATATAAGTGATGGCTGATTTTGAATGTCCTATACCTTGGACAAATCTGTATACTCTGATTACATTTTAGTTCCCGTTGTCAGTCAGAGGCAGTGCTGTGAGGCTCCCCAGCTGCCAGTTACATAATGTCAGCCAGAGACTGTGACAGTTTAGTGAGCAGCCGGGAAACTCAGGCGAAATTGAGCACCTAGGAGGCCATATTACAACATTACATAAGGGATGTTTTCCTTCCACTTGGCTGGGAGAAGCAGATGATGGAGGTCCAGAAATAGGACTGAGTGAAGGAAGAGGGGATGCTGCACACACACTGTTTACCAACAAAGGAGTACACAGACAAGCCTGGCAATGGATATCTGCCCCACATCGCCATCAGTTTATAAAGAGACATATTTGCCTTTTTGTGTATCCCTGGCTTGCCTTTGCTACTAATATCCTGCTGTTAATGATCCTAGCAGTATTCATTGTGTACACTGGTGCACACAAAGAGGCACTAGGCAGTATTACATGCAAGGGCATATCCATGTAATGTATTTTAAGAGAGGTGGAGGAGAAATGTCTGATTGCTTTTCTTTCTGGCTAACCTCATCATCAAAGTGCACTGGCTCATTAGGTTGCATCTGTTTTAGATTTGTTATTGTGAGTCTCTTTACAGGCAGACAGACTTAAAGCAGAGGTAGATATTGATGTACTGTTGACTCTTAACTTGGTGCTATCTAATAGGGAACTGAAACAACCATGAGCAGAGTTTAATACGGTTAATAAGGTGGATTGTATTATCCAGTGCAATACAAGATTAACGTAAATTATTTTCTCAAGTATATACTAGTATCTTTGCCAATTTTGTATTTATATTCAGTTCTTATTTATCTTAAAAACACATGGCAGATGTATGATGGCTGTGATATACAATGTATCCTGGTATTGATTGGCACTGACAACTCCAATCCATTACATACATGTGAGTTGACCAATGATCTACTATATCAAATTCCAACTATAACCACAAATTAAATGATATCTCCCTCAATACTTGCAGACCAAATTAACTTCAGGATAACACTAGTTGGAGATATGTAGCCCAGTCTACATAATCTTATAAAAGCAAAAATATCCAGCAGCACACACTTTCAAATGTCAATGAAAAAAAGTCAACAGTTTTTAATAAATAGTAATTTTGCTAAATATCTTTGCAGGCCTATTCAAACCAACTGATGCCATGCTGCAAAGCATGTGATGATGTTTTTGAACAAAGGCAGATCTGGCAATCTTATTAAGATTATTACAGTTTGATTTAATTATCCGACTTTGCCACCATGTGCATTTGTACAAATCTGTTTTTAAAATCTCTTGTTGGCAATGTTTTATGTAAATTGTGTTTTGGTGTGGGTTTGCTTTGCATGAAATTATGATGCAGTAAGCAATGACACGTCCTGATAATACATTATGAAACATAACCATTCAGGTCAAGTGGAACTTTGCATCTGAGATGTCTTTTGTATGAAACACTGTTATCCTTTGGACAATAACATAGGAAAACTCTTTGTACACAAAGTGCTTTGGGGAGCCGCAGCAGCACTGCAGGAGCTGTGGGCCGCATCCTAATAAACTGAGAAGGCTGCAGTGGGAGCTGTGAAAAACAGACGTGCCACAAACATCACAATAACTTCATGCCCACATTTACAATCAGTTCTGAAATTCTATGATTCACCTACAATATGAACGTCATAAAAGTCTGAATGTTTATTCTCAGTAATTCTCAATTTGAAAAAAAATGATTATGAATTAGCCAAAATTATGTATCAAAGAGAACGAAACATATTTTTCCATTTTACAATGAACGTTACAACCTCAACTTATAAGTAAAGTGATATTTAGTTATGCTGTGCTTTATTAACCTTAGATTATCTAATCAGACCAAATCCATCCACACAGATATCTTGGTTTCCTGGGAGGATTGATAGTCCTACTCAGAATCAATGAGGGTCAGCTTAGATGAAAGGGATTCCTAGAATGTGAGCGGATGCTTGTGACACTGAATAATATAATGTATAAAACCCCTTTTAACACAGTATAAAACGTGGCAAATGAGAACCATGAATAAGAAAATAAACTTTCACAATGACATTACTGTTGTTGGATTTGCATCTTGTTTACAAAAAATTGGATTTATGTGTTGACCTTTTGCTTCTGCGTTATTGTTAAAACAATTTGACAGAGCTGCTGTGGAAATGGACCTTCAGAGTGCTCTGTGGGATGGGAACAGCATCCTCACTGGCATCTTCAGATCAGATCAGAATACCTTTATTCGTCCCACAGAGGGGACATTTGCATTTGTTACAGCAAGAAAAGAGCCAATCTTGTTTGTTAAATTATGATTCCTGATTCGTTTTTATTCACAGTTACACATGATTGATGAACAAATAAACATGATGACTTTTATTCATAGTTCTGAACATCAGTGTTTCCTAAAGGAGGACTGCAGGGTTGATGTGGGTTGGGTGACTGATCGTGACCACAGCGGGTACTTCAAGTACAAATCGGAGGGTTTGTTGTTGAATCAACTCTGCTGCCTGATGTGTGATGAGTGTGTCTGCTGATTAAGGTGTCCTTTAGCTCAGGGGTTCCCAACCCCCGGTCCGCGGACCGGTACCGGGCCGCGGAGGTGTTGCTGCCGGGCCGCGAAATAGCTGTGAGTTTATCGTAATATTTGCAGAATTATAAATATATAAAAATATTTTATCATAATATTTTTTTCAAAAAGTGTTTAATTTTCGCACCTATGCCACCAGTCATATTATTTCATCCAGTAGCTAGTTAATCTTTCACCAGAAAACCGTTGAAAATGGCTTTTATGATGTTCCGAGGGATTCGGCGGCTCAGCCTAAGGTCTCAGCTTCTTGTGCGCACGAGAATGTTACTGGTGCGCCAAGTAGGAAGAGGAGCGAACAGGAGACAACCGTTTGATTGCAGACTGTTATGTTTATGTGGGGAAATGGTGGTGCATACATTATTTGAGATATATTTCAAACTCGGACTTCATTTTAAGGACATGTCGGCCAGGGGTGTAGAGCTATTTGTTTAAGCACCGGATTGGCAAAACAGGAGAGTAAACCAGTCTGCCTTGATCTATGAATTAATATCCGGGACTCTCACGGTATCTGCTGCCCGCAGCTGTTTTATAGAAGGAAACCCTCCTTCACTTCATGAAATGGCTGCAGCATCAAGAGGCAGCGGGACGTACTCGGTAAAGAGCTGTGTTTAACTTAATCAGAACAGTTTAAGAGTGACTGCAGGCTGCTACGTGTTAACCACACACACATCGAACTGCCCGATTACTCCCCCTTTTATTAGTTTTATGAAGGAGATGTCCAGTCAGTCACCAAGGCGCATGATGTGTGTGTGTGTGTGTGTGCTCTGCTCAGCTCAGCTCTGTGTGTTCGGTGTGTTTGTGTCTGTCCGACACCGGCATATATGCGGCTGTTCCCAAAATAAATTAGTTTAATCTTAATCTCGATGTAGTGCTAAATGCTGTCGGGAGTGCACCGGAACGAACGACACTATCATAATATCTTCTGAAAACAAATGCCAGTCACACACACACACACACACACACACACACACACACACACACACACACACCTCCCCTTCATAATGCGCCTTCTCCTCGTTTTCCCAGCATTCACTGGATTATCCGTAAATCATACAAACAAAACCAAAACGTTGATTTATCTGTTTTGGTTTAAAAACTGAATAACGTCGGTTTTAAAACCAAAAAACAACACCGGTTCTTTTTTAAACTTTGTTAATATGTTTTGGATGCATATTGTTCTAGTATTTGTTCAGGCTGTTACATACAATTAGCCTCTGTTGCTACCTGCTGGTGGTGAGTAAATATTAAAATCAGTTAAAATTGACAACCGGTCCGCGATTTTTTTTTGATGTATCTACCGGTCCTTGGCACAATAAAGGTTGGGAACCCCTGCTTTAGCTGACCTTGATTAACCTTTTGAAAAGTAGAGTGGGACTCCTACAGTATGTGCCGTTCCCTTTGGGAAGTTGACGTTGCTATTTTTTTTTTTCCTAATAAAACAGAATGCTTATTTTAGAGATGTGTTTGTCCCTGCAGACATGATATTGTGAGGCGTCTGCATGAGGCTGCCTGGATGAACATGATGGAGGAGGCTGCCAGTCAGCTCGAGAGAGACCATGTGCACAGCGTCTATGACAAGATTGCTCCATATTTCAACGACAGCCGCTACAAAGCCTGGCCAAAGGTGCAACAGTTCCTGCTGGATCTGCAGCCGGGCAGCATCGTGGCTGACATTGGTGGGTGTCATCTCAAGCCGCGATGTATTTCTTAGCAATCCCACAATACTTGATCAATAATACCTTGTCGTTGCTTATTTTAAAGGTTGACTATTATGCAAAATCTACTTTTTCATGTCTTTTATATATATATAAATATGTGTCCCCTATGTGTAAAGAGATTCTGAATGTTTTTAGGAAAAAAGATTCCCTCTCTTTTTGTCCTGATCCATTTATATAAAAACCTGTCTGAAAATGAGCTGATCAGATTTTGGCCACGTTGTGATGTCATAATCTTTTTTTTGGCTTGTGTAACCATTAGCCAATAACCAACCAAGATAACACCCGCCCACCTTACCACCTGAATCTCCTCCTAGAGCACCATTGTGTATTTGTTTTACCAAATATCTCTGAGGGGCGTGGGGAGTGTCTCCTTATTTTCATCTAAAGTAACAGACACAGAATCAGCACTTTTGAAACGGGGCTGAAACAGAGGGGTTTATGGCATGCTACAAAGCATGATCTGTTTGGTATTTCGAGGCAAACACTTCAGAGACATGTTTTGTATATAACTGAGAACTATAATATATTGATGAAAAGAGTATAATAGGGGACCTTTAAACAAAATAAGTAACTATAAAACTGGCTTTCCTAAGGAGAGGGAAGGAGCATTTTTATGTTATTCTACCACTGATAATCTTCTGATCAGCCGCTAGTGTTGTAGCTCACTGTCTTGTCCTTGGTAGGCTGTGGCAATGGCAAGTATCTCCACATCAACAAGGAGGTGTTCAAGATGGGATGCGATGTCTGTCGCCCCCTGGTGGACTTTGCCTGGAGCCAAGGTCACGAGGTCCAGATGTGCGACGGGCTGCATCTGCCTTACAGAGACGGCTGCTTCGACGCTTTGCTCTCTATTGCAGGTAAAGCATAAACACATGACATGGAGCTTTTGTGATTCCTCCCACTCAATAACAAACCACCCCTTCATATTTTGCATTAACCCTTACTGCTGAAGCCATTATTTGCCTAAAATTAAATGAAGTCAGAAATAATGCTAAACATCCGTTTACCACAAGCTTTTGTTGCTTAGAAAACAGTCTGAAATAATTCATGTGTGTCCTCCAACAAAAGCGTGTAATAAGACACCCACACTATTTATTAGTTGTGTGCTAAATACAGTGTACAGAATGTTTTTTGTTGCCTGCAAGAGCTGAATGTGACTAAACATCATCATTAATTAAATGCATCCTCATTATCCTACTTCATTCTGATGAATTCATGTTTTGTCACAGTTATCCATCACTTGTCCACCAAAGAGCGTCGTATTCGAGCAATAAAGGAGATGGCTCGCACCCTGCGAGTGGGCGGACGCATAATGATCTATGTGTGGGCCATGGAGCAGAAACGTCGTAAATTCGAGAAACAAGACATCTTTGTTCCTTGGAACCCCAACCCTCAATCGCCCACGGAGCCCGCCAAACCCAGAAAGAGGGCCACAGCTCAGAGTGTGAGCGAAGCCATAGACAACGCCGACAAGCACAGGAAGGTTAGAAGCACATCTTCCGTAGCAGACGAAGAAGAGCTGACCTGCACCACACCACAGCAGAGCACACAGAGACTGTGGTTCTTCTCTAGGTCTCTGGATTCTGTGTTCGACTTTGGGAGCTTATCCATCTCACGGTCGTCCTCCAGAGACCTGAGCACTTTATCCTCGCCCACAGGTGAGAACGAGCGGAACAAGAGCAGCCATTGGGGGAGAGGACGAGGCCTCATCAAACAGGTCTCAAGCTTCTTTTCCCCAACGTCTGTGATCGGATCGGAGGAGGACGTCTTTGACTCGGTCACAAACCTGCACAAGGGACAAAATGCTCCTGGAGGCAACAACAACGGCCCAGAAAACCAGAGTGTCTCAGTGTCTTTGGCCCAGGAGTGCGGCTCTCTGGCCCTGCCAGATCTGGTTCCTTTCCAGAAGGAGCACCTGAAGCAGTCTTCAGATGAAAGTGAAGGAGGGCTGCAGGGGAAAGAGCAGCATGAAAGCACAAAGAGTTCTCAGGGGAGCGAGAGGCAGGTGGAGGGCTCCTGCCTGAGGTACTATCACGTCTTCAGGGAGGGAGAACTGGCCGAGCTGATAGAGAATCATGTTGATGAGCTTCTTGTCAAACACACCTACTTTGATCATGCCAACTGGTGTGTGGTGGCAGAGAAAGTTCAGATATGTAAAATATAATTTTAACTTGATTTTATTGTTGCATAACTGCCTCAAGTTTCAGCACTCTCACACATGTGTATTACACTCATGTGAAATGTAGACATTGTTGAAGGTACAACAAACACTAAACTACTCCACTACGGCAGAGCTTTACTTAACTGTTTGGAAATTGTGATTATTAGGTTATTAGTTTCCCGTTGTCCTAGAACCAATCATATCTAGCATTGAAAAAGTTGACATGGCCTCACTAATAGTTTTGCAGCTGTAAAGTGTTTTGCTTTTGAATGCCTATTATTGTAAACTTTTCCACATTTTTTATTTATTATATGAAACCAACAAGCAGTATCCAGATATCCTGGGCATTCTTTTAGAAATTATAATTATATTTTTATTATCAAACCACAGTGAGCTCCAGTACTGCTAGTGATTTTAACTCTTTTATTTTGATGTATTATTTCTGCAAGAGATATGTTAAGAAATGCACTGTTTCTCTCTTTAGAATTTTATATTAACCAACTAAGATTTTGTGAGAATATACATACTCTTCCACCTGCCGTTAAATGTTTTAAATTGATTACACTGGAAAGTATTTCTTTGTTTTTTTATTTTATAATTATACATTCCTTAAATCTAACAATGAGCTAAACTTGCAGCAATTATACTTCTTGATAGAACTGTGTAAACGGCTCGTGTAATCTTTCATAACACTATCATAAGAGCCTGAAGAATATCTTCCAAAACATTTGTGCATTTGCCTGTTGCGTTTTGATTCAAAGAACGCGTTGCCAGTGTGTGTGTGTGTGTGTGTGTGTGCTTGATGTTTTAAATAGTTATTTACCATCTTGTGTGGAAGTAACAAGCTGAACTATACCACTGGTATCTTTTAGAAAATCAACTGCCTGATATACTGTGAATTAATATTGCACTGTACCACAAATATCTCACAGCTTGATGTCAGTGAATTACATAAAAATAGGTGAAATTTAAAACGTACCAATGTACCTATTTATGCCAAGGACTGTGCGTGTCCGTAACAGTACAGTATGTGTGGACCAACTGTGTATGTTCTGAAGTGACACTGGTACCTTGATGTCTTATCTTACCTGATGTAAATACTTTTGAGTTTTACTTTATTAAATATTTTTGTTCATGAGTTTAGTTGTGTTGCATTTACTTTCGTAAAGCATACATATTTGGTACATCTTTAATCATTGACAACCACATATAATTCAATAGCACATAGTGTGACACACCGTGAAGTGCTTCTATAGAAGTAATGAGACTGTATCCTGATGAGGTGAACAGCAAGTCAAACCACTTTCTATAATCACTTCTAGGTAATCACTTGCATGAGCATCACCAGCCACTCCCCCAATCAAATATCATTAGCAGATAGTGGAAAACATAGGGTGTTTCTCAATCGCGAGTACGCTTGCTTGGTAGCACATGTCTGCCGAGCATCTTGCTTCAGAAGCGAGGCAAGAATACTTCCTGGCATTCGGAAAACGAAGAGTGGAACAGGCTAGCAAGTGTGCAGGTGTGCGTCATATGAGAGGCCCCGCCTTACATCTTCCGCCACAGATTTGGGGAAATTGGTCTGTGAGCAAAGCATTGTGGGGATTTTAAGACCGCGGAGTCTACTCATGTGCAGCCTCGATATTTCTCCAAACGGAGTACGCCGGGCTCGGTAGATTTCCAAGTATGCTGGAGATTGGAACAGTACTTCGGCGGCACTCGATGACGTAGTATGCTTGAAATAGTGGCTCTGCAGCAGCTTTACTCGCGATTGAGAAACACTCATAGTCTCCAAAAGAATATTTTTTTTTATAATCCTTGATAAACATGAAATGTGTTTACTTGGATAACATTAACATAGAGAATACCAGATTTATAATTTCAAAATATAGATATATCACTCCAGTACATTTATTTTACGCATTTAGTAGCCACGAGCTGCAGATTTAGATGATTAGTTAGAGTTACATTTCATATATCCTTTTTCAAAATATAGATATTTTCATTGGCTCTAAAAGATCCACTACTGGTGAGGGTCTTCTGGATTCGGGGCATGAAGGTTTTACATTCCACAGTCCCTCCAAACCTGAAATATGAAGAACATTAATACAATATCATGTTCAATTAAGCTGTCATGACAAATTGTACAACGTTAGGTAAACAATTCTGTATTGAGAAGGTTAATTTCTGGTAAAGCATCTATGTGTTGTGTACCTGAGTTGCTGCTCTGTGGAGGATGGAGTGTCTAAGGGCCAGTTTGTCGTCGTCTCTCGAGTATCCTCCTCCGATAACGGCAGCGACGGGAACACCTCTGCTCACCACAGTCTTCATCACGTACAGATCTCTCTGATACAGCCCTGGGAGATACACACAGTCAATCAAAAAACATGCAGAAATTAAGTATTGGTGGAAATCCTCAGATGTCAAATCCTCACTCACCTTGGTCAGTGAGACGCAGCCGCCCGAGCTCATCCTCCCAGTGAGGGTCGACACCGGCGTCATACAGAACCAGGTCCGGGCGGAAGGTCTCCAGCAGCAAGGGGAGGTGGGTCTCCACTGTTTAAAACATCCGACATGTGACTTCATTCAGACACATTTTTTTATTTAGATTTAGTGACTTTACAGCAGGGGTGTCCAAACCTTTATCACCGAGGGCCACATACATTAAAATATTAGAGGTGAGGTATACTGCCGCTTATAAGTTAAGTTATAAGTTAGCAAAATCAATCAAAAGTAGGTAAATTATGCTTGATACTTGAATCTGCTTTAAGAAAAAATAAACAGCCTACATCCCAGCTCTCCAGAGAGTTTCATTTAATTTGTTAGCAGCTCATCCCTTACAACAGGAGTCCCAGATTGATTATCATAAGAGGAAATAGGAAGGGTATATTTCAAGTTTTTTTCTTATCGACTTAGATTTGTTAGAACATATTTTCAAATGTAATTGACTGAATTTATTGTAAATTGGGCTTATTAACATGAACACTACTGTGTAATATATATTTACAGATATATTTAATAAGTACAATACAAGAAAAGCTCAAGTTTCATTTGTGGGCCGATTCAAAATGTCCCGGATTTGGCCCCCGGGCCGTATTTTGGACACCCCTGCTTTACAGCAACACTACTTGGTTCTGAACACATCATATGTATTATTATGTCATGTGTCACTTGCCTGTGGAGAGGTACTCCTTGTCTTCCATCCCATCATCCAAGCTGATATCTAGGTCACTCTGTTGTTTACGGAGGGGGAAGTTTTTCCCACAATGCACTGAGAATGTAAACACACACGGCTCCTCTTTAAAAATGAAAGCAGTGCCGTCACCCTGTTGGATTCAAAAGATTTGATCAAATACAAAGACAAGTTTTGCATATAATTGTATGAGAAAATAAAAAGGTACGGTAAATCTACCTGATGCACGTCTAGATCCACGATCAGAATCTTCCTTTTGTGCGAGGAGACACCCATCAGGTATTTGGCGGCAACTGCCAAGTCGTTGAGGAGACAATACCCTGAACCGTAGCTTGGGAAGGCATGATGTGTTCCTCCTGCTGTGCTGCAGGCCAGACCCCTCTGCAGAGCTACCTCAGCAGCCAGAACAGTCCCACCTGTCAATCACAGAGAGGGTGTCATGTGGTGTGATCTCTAGGGGCCGTTGAGATGTTACATCGCCCAGACTTGTCAGATGTTCTTCTCACCTGTCTCATATCGACAGCGCCTCACTATGCCTTCACTCCAGGGGAAACCTGTCCTCCTCTGTTCCTGCTCATTGATTTTCCCATTAAAGAAGTCGTTTAAGTATTCCTCAGTGTGCACACAGCTGAGTAATTCTTTAGAGGCAATTTCAGGGACCCACACCTACTGTGAAGAAGGACATTTACATCAACAGGGTAATGTACTGTTTCCAGTAGTACTTAGCAACAGGTTTTACAATGTTTTTTATTAATAATCAACCATTGTAAAACCACTGAGTCTCACATATCTATACATAGTTTTCTAACAACTGTCCAAAACCAAAATAATTTAACACAATGATATATAAAAAATTTAAATCCTATTATTATCAAGTGTAAATTGTCTTAAAAGGTAGATTTATTTCTCATCATCAATCAATCAATCGAACCATTACAGAACAAAATAATTATGACATGGACACTAGTGTTTTCGTAGTTTAACATATGAATGCCTTGCTCACCTGTTCCTCTGTGATCACCTGATCTTTGATTAAGAAGTGCAGCACGCGGGGAAACTTGCCCATAGGAAACCTGTGGTTGGGAGGGAGGTCGCACACATACCTGCTGTGATGAATGATGGGAAGTGCGCTGGATTCACGTGATACCTGCAAGGTGCAAAGGCTCACTGTAAGGTCAGTTTGGAGGCATTGAGTTACATTTCATAAAAGTTATTTTTATGAATATTAAGTTCTTACTTGTTGTTCACCATGAAAACATCTGCTGGAAGTGAAAGCTGCACCGAGCACTTGTCCGACTTTTAAGCGATGTGTTCGCGAAAATATCTGTTTAATGCACATCATTTCTCTGACTCGCGTTAAAAACTATATATAAATAACTCGCTAACATAGGTCAGGGAAGTGTTGTGCGGTTTGGTGTTATGAAACAAGCTACAAACGTGCTGAAGGTGTCCTGTGTGTTGTTGACGGATGT